AGAATAGAATAGAATAGAATAGAATAGAATAGAATAGAATAGAATAGAATAGAATAACAGAGTTGGAAGGGACCTTGGAGGTCTTCTAGTCCAACCCCCTGCTTAGGCAGGAAACCCTACACCACTTCAGACAAATGGTTGTCCAATCTCTTCTTCAAAACTTCCAATGTTGGAACACCCACAACTTCTGGAGGCAAGTCGTTCCACTGATTAATTGTTGTATCTCTCGGGAAATTTCTCCTAAGTTCTAAATTGCTTCTCTCCTTGATTAATTTCCACCCATTGCTTCTTGTCCTGCCGTCAGGTGCTTTGGAGAATAGCTTGACTCCCTCTTCTTTGTGGCAACCCCTGAGATATTGGAAGACTGCTATCAGGTCTCCCCTAGTCCTTCATTTTATTAAACTAGACATACCCAATTCCTGCAACCGTTCTTCATATGTTTTAGCCTCCAGTCCCCTAGAAGCTTGAGAAGTTTGAGATGCTTGTTTATCTGCACAGATCTCCTGATCCGAGCTGGAACTTCATGGTTTTGAAAGCAGTCTTACTGGTCCCGAAGGTCTCATCCCAACCCCGTGTCACCTTCTGTATCCTCTTCTAGGTCATTTGCACCCAATCGGAAGAGTACAACAGCCGCCAATCCCTTTGTAATGGAACGAATGAAGGGCCTGTCCTTCGAAATCCTGGCAACCACGATAAAAGGAGAACGCCTCGGCTTCCAACTTCAGCTGAAGTTGAATTCTGCTTAAGTCTGACGCAATATGAAACCGGGACAATGGATAAAATGGCTAACTTCAGTTTCCGGAATACTTTGGAGGGTAAGGTTTGCCCCTCTTTTCATGATTTCTAATGAAATATTGTGTGTCACAGTTACACTGTTTTATATTTCGATACACATTTTATATGCTGTTTTATATGCTGAATTTTCACACATGAATACCGTAATGCTATCTAGCCAGCTATTCAGCAGGTTCTGACAGGTTCTGGAGAACCGGTAGCAGAAATTTTGAGTAGTTTGGAGAATTTAATTTAATTTGATTTATCAAATTTCTATGCTGCCCAACTCCCAAGGGAACCGGCAAATACCTTCTCTGGCTGACCCGGCCCCCATCTATTCTCTGCCTCCCGAGTCCCAGCTGATCAGGAGGAAATGGAGATTTTGCAATATCCTTCCCCCAGGAGTGGGGAGGGAATGGGAATTTTGCAGTATCCTTCCCCTGGACTGAGGTGGGAATGGAGATTTTGCAGTATCCTTCCCCTGGAGTGGAGTGGGAATGGAGATTTTTGCAGTATCCTTCCCCTGCCACACCCACCAAGCCACGCCCACCAAGCCACGCCCACAGTAAAGAAATTGGAATTCCACCACTGTATCTAGCATTACCTGCATTTGGACTACTTCATAATTAAGAAAATGTACCTGGAACTATCTGAAACACGGCTGCTATGTGAGTTAGATCTTAAAGCAAGAGGCAAAATTGACTGAGAAGGTCAGAGGGAACAATTTACCAGAAACATCTAACAATGTTCTAGAACTTCAACGTACGACTAATCCAATCAAATCTAGTGAATAATTCTGAAGAGCATGTTATCAGGAGACGAATACCAATTCAGTTTTGGATGGATGAGCTTTCAAAATATGAGTGGGAGTTGAGCTGGATTATCTTCTCAGCATATGGCATTCTGGTTTATGGGTACGTGGAATTGAGGGCCTATGTATGTTTGTGTTAATTACGTAAAACTATGCATTTATCTGCCCTTAGACTATGAGAGTTAGAAGGAATCAAATATTTCAGTGCAAGTTCTACTATAGAAATATAGAAGAGGAGTTGGTACATTCCAACAACTCTTTGCCCAACTAACTTTCTCTGACAAAACTACTTGGATGAGCAGTGAAACATCTCAAACTAACAAGAAAAATAAGTTCAGTTGCAGAGGTGGTATTCAGCCGGTTCGTACCAGTTTGGGCGAACTGGTAGCGGAGATCGCGGGTGAGCTGCCCTGGCTCTATGCTGTCCTATTTAGGCACTGTTTTGAGACCGGGTGCATGTGAGGAAGGCACGCATGTACAGAAAGTGTGCATGCGCGGAAGGCACCCACATGAGGAAGGCACATGCATAGAAGGTGTATGCATGCGCAAAACAAGCTTGAGTGCGCACGGTGAACTGGTAGCAACAAAATGTGAAACCCACTGCTGTCCACGTGCCATGACTTAACATTCAGACAACGTTATCTGTATGACTCAGAAACTTCATCAGGTTCTACTGTAGAAATTCTGGCAGACAACTATCCAAACTCTGAAGAACTCACCTCAACATGTGACAACCTTTCCACTGACTCTCAGTTCATCCAGTCAAGGAGTTTCTCCTGATGTCTATCCAGAACCTCTTTCCTTATATTGTTTTTGGTGCTGTCTCTGGAGAAATAATGAAGAATCTGTGTAAGGAAAAAAAGCGGCAGAACCTGGGGGCAGAGTTAAACGAGGAATCAGCCTAGAATCTCTATGTAGCCGCAAGTGGGCTAATTCTGTTGACCTTTATCTAACTCTTAGCAGGGGCTAATTATTAGCTGAGAATATTCCTGTGCATAGGCAGGAGCAGCGGTGGGTTTCAGATATTGTTACCACCAGTTCACCCCGCATGTGCACACTCGCATCGCACACACGCGCACCTCTGCACATGCACCCGGCCTGTGCATGCGCTTTGCTCATGTACGTGCCTTCCGCGCATGTGCCCAGCCTCAAAAACATGGCTAAATAGGACAGCATAGCGCTGGGGCGGATGAGCGGGCACACCCGCGATCTCCGCTACCGGTTCGGGTGAACCTGTCCGAACCGGCTGAATATCACCTCTGGGCATGAGTAGCAATAAATCAATTTAATTAGATCTTCACAGGTGTGGACCTGATCCTTCACCCTTGATAATCTGAAGCCCAATATCCTATTTTCCTTCAGCTGTCTTCTCTGTAATTTAAACCAACCCAGCTCCTTTAACTGTTCCTCAAAAGTCTTTTTTCCCCCCCCAAATCCTTCACCATCTTATCACTGTCTTTTTCAAACTAATGCAGCCATTTTGTACACAGTACTCCTAATGCACTAATCCCATGCATTATAATTGCTTATTTTGTGCAGCTGTGTATTCACCGCACAATAGAAACATTTAAAATGTTTTTGCTTTCCTCGCCAAACGGGACTACATTGTGTACCTTTGCAAATATTACATCTCCGCGAAATAAATAACTTTAAATATCAGCTTCCGGTACAAATCTGTGTCCTTAAAAGTTATTTGGAACAAACGGTTATCTCTTCTTCGTTTCTATTTATGTACATGAAATTAACATTTTTTTAGAAAAAAAAATTCTCAGTAATAAATGTAATTTTTGTGGAAATGCTAATAATGGTTATAGAACTGTGTTTTGTATGTTTATCGGCAATCTCTAACAAGATTTTGCATAGTCGCTTTTAGGGAAATAAAACCAAAATAAAACCCAGCTTGCCACAACTTTCTTAGATAATCAAATTAGCTGTTTGGATTTTCTTCCTCCTCTAGTAATGTGTAGGTAATCCTTGACTTACAACCACAATTGATTCCAAGATTTCTGTTGCTAAGCCAGGCAGTTGTTAAGTGAGTCGTGCCCCTTTTTATAACCTTATTTTTGGCCATGGTTGTTAAGTGAATCACTGCAGTTTTAAGTGGACTATGTGGTTGTTAAATGAATATGACATCCCCTCAGGGGTGAAATGCTCCCAGTTCGGACCGGATCACCTGATCCAATAGCGATGGCAGCGGGTGGTTCGGAGAACCAGTAGCAAAAATCCCTGCCCCACACACTCCCATGCACAGCTGAGCCACGCGATCATCAGAAGCTTTTTTTTTTACTTTTAAAAGCATTTTTTCCGCCGAAGAGGTTGTAGGAAAAAAAAAATGCCTTTAAAAGCCTCTGAGGATCCCAGCTGAGTTGCCTGATCGTCAGAGGCTTTTAAAAGCATTATTTTCTGCAACCTCTTAAGGTTGTAGAAAAAATGCTTTTAAAAGTAAAAAAAAAAAAAAAAAATTGGCCACGCCCACCCAGTCACATTCCCCCCCCACCAAGCCACGCCCACAGAACTGGTAGTAACAACTTTTACATTTCACCACTGCATCCCCTATTGACTTTGCTTGTCAGAAGAAGCCAGCTGGGAAGCTAACACATGGCGATCACATGAACATGGGACAGTGCAACTGTCATAAGTACATGCCAGTTGCCAAGTGCACCAATTTTGATCACGTGACCATGAAAATACTGCAATGGTCGTAAGTGGGAAAACTGATGATAAGTCACTCTTTTTCCAGTGTTGTTGTAGTTCCAAACAGTTACAGCTCCAATGGTTGTAAGTCAAGGACTATCTGTACCTCAGTTGCCTCCAATCTGTGCTTATATTTGTAGATATATTTGAGGCTTCGGTTTCCAAAATTCTGAGCCAGAATGGATGGATGAAACTATCTATACCAGCTTATTCTTTGGCTGGTAATATATCCCAGATTGACTACTGCAATGCTGTCTACATGGGGCTGCCCCTGAAGACCACTCGGAGGCTTCAGAATGCGGCCACGCGAGTAGTAATGGGAGTGTCCCGACACTCTCATGTTACACCTCTCCTGTGGGATCTGCATTGGCTACCGGTTGCCCTTCGGGTGAGATTCAAGGTGCTGATAATTACTTAGGCCCGGGGTATTTGGCTGACCATCTGCGGCCAGCGACACACCCCATCGCCCGGTGCGTTCTCACAGGGAGGGCCTCCTTGGGGTGTTGTGGGCCAGAGAATGTCGGCTGGCAACCCCTAGAGAGCGGGCCTTCTCTGTGGGCGCACCTACCCTGTGGAATCAGCTCCCCCTGGAGCTCCGGGTGGCCCCTAACCTTCGCTCTTTCCGCCGTGATATTAAAACATGGTTATTTTGCCTGGCTGGTTTGGACTGAAAGGGTTTTAAAAGGGATTATAATAGTTTTTTAATAATCTTATTGGGTATTTTTAACATTGATTTTGCCTGTTTTTATTGTTGTGAGCCGCCTTGAGTCCTTTCGGAGATAGGGCGGCATACAAGTTCAAATAATAAATAAATAATAAATAAATATACAAAATAGGAGGAAGAAGGTTGAATTTGTTGAGTCATTTTTTAAAATAACAAAGGTGGGGTACCAAGAAAATTTTAAAAATACAAATAAGTGAAGTTTATGAACCATTAAAGCTATCCCAAGATTGTGAAGGGCACGGTTTCCTGGTTATATTGACACTAATGGATTATATCTCTTGACTGTTAATTGTTTTTTATTTCTTTTGATATTGTCTATGGAGATTCTCAGTCATCCAGGTCGTGATTGTGTCAAAGGTGCTTTTTTTCAGGGGCAACTAGACTTTCTGGTTTTTCTTTGAAGACGTTTTGCTCCTCATCCAAGAATCTTCTTCATCTCTGACTGGATGCATCCTTCCATTCCCCACCATCCAGTCAGAGCTGAAGAAGCTTCTTGGATGAGAAGTGAAACATCTTCAAAGAAAAACCAGAAAGTCCAGTTGCCTCTTGAAAGAAAGCAGTTTTGGTATTGTGCTTTTATTGTTTTTAGGATTTATTTACAACCTGACACTGGCCTGCGATGGGCAGCGAAACAAATCGAGTAAATAAAGAAAGGAAATTAATGCTTATGAGAATATTTATTTGCAAATTGTTTATTGAGGAAACGCTGAGTGAGATGGACAGTCTCCAAATCTGAAGTATAAATAAAATAAATACAAATAATTCTTACAAAAAAAAAAAATGATAGTGAGCCTGATGCAGAAGTTCAAGGA